GAGACATAAACAATACCCTCCCAGTGGGTGGGTTCCTGCAGGGCTCCTTATATTAAAGACATAAACCTTAAACGCATGTTTGTGTTGCTTTCTCCAGTTACATCTTGTTCAGATTTACCTTGAATGAGGAAACTTATTTTAATCAAGCCGCATTCCTCTAAGGCTCTGTTTTATGTCAATTTTAAGCGCACTTTCTTCACAAGAGTTAAATTGTTGTTCTGATCTTTGATCTGTGCTTTGTGTGCGGAAGAGTGTCTGTTTGATGGTCTGAAAAGTGATAGTTACCAGTCGATTGGATAGCCCATCGTTTCTTCATTGCCTTAGCCACGGACACTGAATCCCCACCGTGAGCATGTTTGTGCAGACACCTCCTCTAGGGGCTTAAAACACTTTTTATTGTTAACGGTATCTGAGGGTCAGTGCTCTTTCCCAGAATTATCTTCTCTTCACACATTTATTCTTCTGGGGGAACTGTTTAAAATGTTCCTCAAATATAGTTCACTAAGTGGGAGGCTGCAGGAGAAAGACAGGCTGTCTATTCCTATGAAGATTTAAAGTCTCAGGAACCCAAAGGGGCTATTCTCCTGTGTCCTACAGGTTCACTGTGGGTTGGAGGCAGGGCGGGAGTGCTGCCGGGGGGCCGTCCTGTGAGGAGGCAGTTGGTATAACTGCCTGGATGTCAGGGCCAGGATACCCCAGCCCGTGCCTGCATCTTGCCGGGCGCCCCTGCCTGGGTGTAAGCCCCAGTGCGCATTTAGAGCTGCTGGCCTTGAAGAGCAGTTCAGGGGCTGTGGGGAACCACTGGTCTCCCAGTCACGCAGTGGAAGAGGAAAAGGCCTTGCTCCTGGTGTGATGGGTCCCCTTCCTGAGGAGGAGGCAGCGCTTTTTACAGACTGGAAAAACCCGGAGAAAATTCTAGACTTGTGCTACTGGACAGACCAGCTTCGCCTCTTCTGGCTGCTTCTGTGCTTAGCACTGAGGTACCATCAGCAGTCTGTCCCGTGGGCGTCCCAGCAGTGGGGTGTGCCCCAAACGTACGTGCACTTGTTTCTGTGGCCACGATGGATTTCATACAGGAACACACTGCTCGCTTTGCATCAGGAATATAGTTTGTGACGTTTCATTTTTCCTTTCCAAGCGGGTGTCAAATTGGGGCAGTCACATCGACAGACTAGACTGCTCACTTGGGAAAAGCATCTTAACCTTTGTCTGTAAAGCCACAGAGAGACTGTTTGTAAATAGCAGAAAGGACACCGGATTTGATTTAGTCTGAAGATCTAGGCTTGAATCATCCATTCAGGATTTCTTTATTGATATCTACTCTGCATAAGCCCTGCGGTTATGGCAGATAGCAAGATAGCAGTGGTCCTCGGGGCGCTCACAAGATAGTTGGTAAGCTAGCTAGACAACAAGCCATCACATGACTAGCAGGATTACAGACTGTGTCTGACACTAGTTATACCACAATCCTCTTAGGACCCTAGGGCAAGTTCTGTTACCGCTCTTTCACTGGGAGGGGTGTGTGTGTGTGTGTGTGTGTGAATGTGGTAAAAAGTATAATAAACAGTGATTTAAACAAATAATAGATTACATGGAGTTGCCACAAGGACCACCACTGATATGTGCCTGTGATGCGTAGTATAGCACCTGGCACATGCTAGGCTCGCTGAGGGACCGTACCAAAAGGGACGCTGCAATACAAACAGTGGTGTTTCTCTCCTGCTAATTCCTGGGTGGGGGGGGGGGGCCGCTATGTTCCCAGCTTTTGCCCTTTTACCTGCAAAGGATACAGGAAAACTTAGGTGCTTTGTCCTAAATCTTTTTTTGTCCTGGGCTTTTTGTCTTTAGCTTGAGAAACAGGACGCCCTCTCGGTGCCTCAAAAGCATTGCCCTGCTCTGAAATGGCTAGCCTGGACATGCCAAGTGTGGGAATTGGCACTAAAGGGGCCGGCAGCCCAATTAACAGCTTTGACTCATTATGACCTGTCACCAATTGGGGCCCAGGAGGGTGGGCGTCTCCTGGCACACCATCAGCAGAGCGAAATTGGGGTTTAAAATGGACCTGGCTTGGCCTGACTCTTGGTTCTGTCCTAGACCAGTAGTTTGTCCATGGGCAGTCCACTCAATCTTTGTGGCCTGCCATTTCCTCAACTGTCACTTGGGGGGACCAGGAATTGTCAGGGTATTATGAGGCTCAGGTGAGGTAATCTTCAGAGCCTGGTACATAAAAAACGTAGACAGATCTCTCCTGGTGTCTTTTTGTGGTTTTGTCCTGTTGTGGGACATGTAGAGGTATGGAGCCAATGTGCAGGCTAATTACTTTTTTTTTTTTTTTTTTTAAAGGGCAAACGTGATGAGGGCAGCTTCTGGGGGAATTAGCTTCTGAGGAAGGATGGGAAAAAATTTTTTTCCTGGTAATTTTTACTTTAACATTTCAGTTGACATACAGTTCAATAGTTTAAACACATTAAGAAGAGGTGTACAGTCATCCCTTCGGTCAAGGATGGGGAACATTTACCTGTGACAGGTGACTCCATTTTTACAGAGGAGTCACTGTCCTACCGGAAGTTAGGCTGGTTGTTGGGCCTGGCAAGCTGCTGATGGTGTGCCAGCTGCCCGAGGCCTCTCTGTGTGATCTTTGGCAGCCACACGCCTCCCCACCCTCCACCCTCCGTGGCCTGTTTCCACCTCTGTCAAATGAGGGTCAGGACCAGGTGTGCTTGCCCTAGGAGCAGCGAGTGGGAGGGCAGGATGACGAGCCGGTGTGTAAGGCCGCCAAGCATGGTGCCTGCTTGGTCATGGGGCTTCCAGTCAGGGGCCCATGCACCAAGTGAGAGGCCTTGCCTTCCACTCCAGGCCAGCTTGGTCTCGGGACAAAGTGTGCTGGGCAGTTGTTGTTAGCTGCTAGCTAACCCGTTCACATGGGTGGGATCTGACATTGCACTCTGTGGTTGTCAAGGGCTGCCATTCAGACGTAGATCATCAGGCCTTTCTTCCTGGTCGGCCGAAACCCAGGTGAGCCTCCATGGACAAGCCTGATACTAAGGGCATTGGCTGGCGGTTCAGCCAGGTCTCCCACAGGGAGGGTGGCAGCCCTACCACTGAAGCACCACTGCTCCAGCCACGGATTTGTTTGGGAATACCCATGTCATGCAGCAGCCGGGTCTACTCTTAAATCTGAGGAACCGGAGCAAGGAACCCCACCCACCCACCCCCTGCCTCCACAAGTATGGGGCAGGGAGCTGGCATGTAGGGACCCACCTGCATGCCTTGCTCAGGCACAAGAGCGTTTGACATTGTGATGTTTGAGGACCACCAGGCAGCCTGGAGCCTGTGTGGATGGTCCCATTTTACAAATGAGTTCACTGACCTTCATGAAGACCACAGAGCACGTGGCAGAGCTTGGCTGGGAGCCCAGGGTCTGTGGGACCCCTACCTTCTTCCTCCTCCAGCCTCTGCCCAGGGGTGTGCCCGAAACCACCGCATCCGCCCTTTCTTCCTCTCCTTTTAGGCCAGACTTTGACTTCCAGCCCCACGCCCTCTACCCCCCCAAAACACTCACTGCCACCACCTCCATTCTGACTGATTGATGGTGACCCTCTAGGACAGGGGAGAACTACCCCTGTGGGTTTCCGAGACGCTAACACCTGATGGGAGTAGACAGCCATGTCTTTGCCCTGCTCCAGACCCCAAAGGGGCAGAGAGCAAGTCCAGAGATGGATGAAGCACTTCCCCAAGTGTTAGAGGCCGGACAGGACAGCGACCTGACTCTCAAGGCAGTCTGCCCTCTCCACCCACTCTCCCCTCAGCTGCTCTCAGGGCCCAGCAGCGTGGCCTGGGTAGCAGATCAGTTGATCACCGAAACTGTGCCCGATTCTAGACGGTCCTGCTTGCATGTGGTTGTCACACATCAGTGCCTGCGCCACTGCTTAGAGCATTTGGCCAGCCACCCCGTTTTCAGAAAAAAACTCAGCACCTCCCCCGGCAACAAAATCATTTATACTGCAGCCACAATCCAGGCTAACGTGTGCGTGCTTCTAGCTCCTTCTTTTTGTCATCCTGCACATCTTCCCTCTCTGTGTAAAATAAGCATCCAGTGTATCCCTTTGACATCCCTGTCATCTCTGCCCTGTGTGTGTGTGTGTGTG